CCCACCCCACCCCACCCCACCAAGAATTAAGGGGTGGAAACCAAGGCCATTTTTACACATGCTGTAGGATGCAGAGCCAGGCGCTTCAATTAGTGAGCCACGCTAAATAAAAGTGCCCGTGTGTCATGTGCATCAATGGCGCAACATGTCTCCGCACTGAAAAAAGGGTGGTGGGGCACTTTGAACTAGAGCTCATCAAACGCGTTTTATTTCAAAGCACCCTGCCACCATTTTTTCAGCACAGAGACACGCTGCACCACTGATACACACGATGCAGAAAGCTGCCAGAGCACATCAATTTCTATGCTCCGGCAGACACGATTAATCTGCAGCCCCTTTGCGCTGGGAATGGGTTGGCCCCCTAGCAGCCTGTGGTTTCAATTAATCAAGTCTGCTCCAAGACGCTGGATTCCAGGCTCCGCGTACGTGTATAGGAGCCCCAAGTCCTTGTGTCCACCACCCAGGAGTCCAAGCCCAGCTCACAGACCTGCTCTGAAGGTCTGAGAGGAAACCTGAGCCCATCCAGTTCTCAGCTGTGAGGGCAGTGAGCGAGGCCAAGGACTAAAAGTGTTTTTGTTCTGGCTGACTGCAGCATCTGACCCCACAACCCCAGCAGTGACCAAATGGCCAAGCTGCTGACCCCCTGCCCCTTATACTCACCCTCTTGGCTCCCACAAACAGACCCAAGCAGTAGCACATGTGCCACCAAGACAGTCTCCTGCCAGGGAGAACTGTACCTCACAGAGGAAGGGGAATGTCCCCAGGGGCGCAGATATACTGCAGCAAGGTCAGGAGAGCGGTGGGCAAAAGCAGGATGAGAAGGCCCTGCCTGGCAGATCTGCCCGGGCCTGGAGCAAGGCCAAGAGCAACATCCTACACGCAGGGACTCCCCGCACGACTTGCACAAGCAGTGCCGTGGTCAGCACCTGGGTGGTTTATTCACGCTACCAGCATCGTGCAAAAACACGCTCTCTGTAAAAGTTATTAAAACACCTGTGAAGCTGCTGCTGGCCTTGCCAGCGCGGAGCTAGTCCATGGAGTCCCTCAGGCCAACGGTGCCAGCATCCTGCTGGCTTTCTTTTTCCACTTGACTTTACCCAGCTCCCCCTGAGTCTCTGTGCCAGCACTGCCTTTGGCCTTCTTTGTGGGAGGGCCCTGCTCGCCTTTGCTCTCTACTTGCCATTTCCTCTTCCTGTTCTTCTTCTTCTTCTTTCTCCCCATGGCTGGAGCCTCAGTGCCCTCTGGAGCTACCTCAACATTTGTCTCCATCCCCTCGTTTTCTTGGGGCCGCTCCAGGGCCTGTTTGCGGTTCTTGCGTTTCTTGGTGGCCGGCAGAAAGCCTTTCTTCTTCCGCTTGAGGGGCTCCACTGCTGGGGGCTGCTTGGACTGGGTTGCTGCTTTCTTTCGTTTGGGTCGCCTGCAAATCAACAGCAACACAGGTTATGGCACAGTCCAGCAACTGAGGGAGCACGAGCCCTGGCCGTGCATCTGCGGTGGGCAGCACTGACCTGTACGGGGAAGGGGAATCATAGCGACAGCATGGGACGTGCGGTACCCCACAGGGACGGAGTGCATTGGCTACAGTTAGTCACTTTATTTGAACTTAGGGCCTCACTTTATCAGACCCAGCCAGGTAACAAACAGGTTCCAAGGCAGGCAACCCCAATGTCAGTGCTGCGAACCCTCTGGTGCCGTGTTTGGGTCCACCAGTCCCGCAGCTCGTTCCCTGTGAAGCCACAAGTCACCCGGCCTAACAAGACTCCATGTGGGACCACATTTCTGTCTGGGGTTCGCTGCTCCTTAATCTCATCGGGTGCTCTTTGCCTGCAGGGAGGAGAGTCCGAGCAGTATTTGCTGTGCTGTCAGTGCTCTAGGTCTGCTCCTACTCTGTGCCCTCCTGCTGTGCTCTGCCCCTCTCTGTATGCAAGCCCAGCCCCATGACACACTTGTCTCTGGAAAAAGGCCCCATCAGCTAAACAATTAATCCAGGTCCGTCTGCCTGCCATAGCAGTTGGGTTACAGCACTGCGAGCAGCTTCCGTGCATCTCTCCCTCCAAAGGAAGACACAGAGCAAGGATGCTGAAGAAGATCCAGGCTGTAATTGCCTTGGCTCCTGGCAGGCTTTTAGTCTGTGGCACCCTGCTGGAGAGCTTACAGCCTACACCGAGGAGCAGGGCTGTCTCCAGAGCCCAGTGCTAACACCCGCCTATCAGTGACTCCATCCAAGAGAGACAGGGCCTGAAATGCACCACTCCAACGTGCTGCAAGCAGGCGACAATGCTCTCACATACACGCACACAGTACAGAACGTCTGGGCCCCTGGAGCCAGCTAAAGCAATCCAGGAACAATGCAGATGAGAAGGGCTGCAAACAGAAACAAGTTCATCGGGCAGCGCTCTTTGTTACTTGCTATGCTAATGAGACCCTTCCACGTTAAATTTATTGAATCAAGCCAACGGATAAGCATACCTGTGAAGCAGGGTGACCATCCCGCCCGGTTTGGCCAGGGCACTCCAGGATGTCATAGCTCGGTCCCAGCCGGCTGGTCAGAAGTCTCGGGGCACAGTCCAGCAGGGAGGCAGAGCAGAGCGGTGCGCCAGGCAGGCAAGCACCGCTGCTGCTGGGCAGGAGCAAGGTGGGTAGACTGGAGCAGGTGTCAACCCGCCACACCTGGCATGTCCTGGCTCCCGCACAGCAGCAGCAGCGCCCGAGTGCCCACCTGCCTGCCTAGTGCACCTTGCCACTACGCTTTCCCACCAGACTCCCGCCTGGGGCTTTTGGCCAACCGGCCAGGGCCGGATTACACAATCCTAGTGTCCCCGCCAGACTCGGAGCGCATGGTCACTCTTCTTTTAAGGGGGAGAAAGTACAGGTATTAGACCTGCCACTTGGTTAACCTTGTTGGATGCCACTCTGTTCTCTGGACTCCACGTCGAACAAGAGGCCTCAGTCTGGCTAGTATCGCAACTCCACCACTCCTCTCTTCCTGCGGCTATAGGGCAGCTGCGCCCGTAAGTTTGATTAGGGAATTGTAGAAGGGAAATGCTTTGCAATGGTTTCAGCTGTGGATAAAGATCCTGCTCTGGATTGGGATGCTCTGCTGGAGACTCCTTTGTTGCTTTATCAGGTCACAATCTGCTTTTAGGGGCTAATCCCAGGGCTTCAGTGGGCTTTGGGTTTAATCCCTGAACTCCATGGCCACAAATAGCATACAAAAGAGCTGCATGCGTCAGTCAGCACCACCTCCAGGCGCTCTGGCTGCCATCAAGAAACTGTAACCTAGATGACAGGCATCCGGGAGCAAGGGCAGCGGTTACTAGTCTGCAAAGCGTCACGGACATCCACTGCGCCATGTAAATAATTCAGTGCCACCAGCAGGAACAGGGAAAAAAAAAAAAAAAAAACTAAGGCTGGTTTACAAGATGGACGCACAGATTTCTGGGAACATGGCATTTCTTCCTGCCCTTAG